CCCCCCCCACTATCCCGTCCCGACTGTCATTCATTTATTTAATACTGTGTAATATTAGGCAAATAATGGTCAACACTCAACAAATGAACAACACTTGTGGTGACCCGCCATCGGAAGTGCTAACTAAATACTTGGGCTTTTATGTCCGTTGTTTGTGGTCTACGTATGTAATCGTCAATTGTTTTACCACAAAATGTTGACAATTATTATTATCTAATAATTTCCTTTACAGAGAACTCGTTAACAATTTTAGTTGCAATGCGAGGGTTAAGCTGACACTCGTCGCACAGTCGCCGAACGGACAAAACATGAGCAAAGGTGAGTGCTTCCCGATAGACACACACCCGACACAACACGTGTGTCCACCAAATGGCATATTATTGTGAATTTTTGGTTTTGATTACAGGCTTTGAACGCAAATTCACATTTGAACATAGGAATGGTCGTGGTTGCACACGATTCATTACATTTACCGTAATTTAGACATTTTCATATTTATTAACATTAAATATATGGTTAATTTGCTTTTGTTGATTACCCGGTGTTTAGGATCTATTGAACGACGAAAAGGGTTTTATTAAAGACAATACGATTGTTGTGGAGGCGATGATTAGCACCGATCGACCCTATGGTGTGATTATGCGCTCAAATGAGGGCAATATTTTTGGCACAATTCAAAGGGTAAACACTTTTTATGTTTAACTTTTTTAAAGTTATTTTTCTTTTATTTAGAAATGCGTTGATTTGAATCCGGAATTGATTTACTTTATGAACGATTCCGAGTGTAATGTTGTGTTCAAAGTTGAAGGCAAACGGATTCCGGCCCTCAAAGAGTTGTTGATCTATAGAAGTAATTATTTTCGGTCAATGTTTTCGGGAAATTATACCGAAAGTAAGGGCAAAGAGATTGAAATCCAAGACACGACTCACGAGGCGTTCAAAACAATCATTTGGTACTTATATTCGTATGAATTGGCCATCGATTCGGAGGAAATGTTAATTGATTTGGACTTTCAATACGAAGTCTATAGACTCGCCGATAGGTTTCAAATCAAACGACTTCTCATTTATTTTGAAAATCAATTGAAAGCAAACATTACTGAAGAGAATCTGGAATTGGTTTCAAGAATTAGTTTTGATTATAAAATCAATTCTTTGATGATTTCTGTGAAGGCATTCATTGATAAAACATTTGACAAATTGATTCTCGAAGACAAGGATTATGTGAAGAAAATCAATGGATTCACTGATGACTATATGTTTGATAAGACAATTGAAAGTTCGCGTAAAAAAATGCGAATTGTGTGAAAATATCGTTGATATAAATGCTTTCATTTACTAATTGTTTGAATTATAATTCCTGTAAAACATTTCAAATTCATATAACATTTACATAATTTTTTGACACATTTTCAGAGAAAACTTTTCAGAACTTTTATTTTCACATACTTTATGTGTAGTCTTTATGTGTACTGTATTACTAAACATGTATTTTATATTAAAATTTTTAATATACATTTAACTAAATGATTAAATTTGTATCTAAATAACCATTTCATATAAAATATACTTTATTTATATGCAAATATGCAACACATTAATCAATCAACTGATCACAATTCTGTGGTAACCTTGATATACAGTATTGTTTATATTGCAATACGTGTGAAATCAATTGAAATGATAACGTTTGGTAAACGACTCCAGACTATTGTCATATATATGACATGTGTGTTGACTCATATAACAGTTAGTTTAACAACAAATATAATGAACAAAATTGTACGCAAGGGTAACGACGTGTCGGTGTATTCAAGCGATGGCCAGATGTTAGGCTACGGCGGGGTTTCCAACGCCAGCCCTCTGTCTAACTTTTACAAGACTAGCTTCACATACAGTGGACACCACTTCGAGTACTCCGAGTGCGCTATTATGTACGAAAAGGCCATCACTTTTGGCGACCAAATGATCCCTCTGTCCAACTTTTACAAGACTAGCTTCACATACAGTGGACACCACTTCGAGTACTCCGAGTGCGCTATTATGTACGAAAAGGCCATCACTTTTGGCGACCAAATCAGCGCCGATAAAGTGCTCAAATGCCGGACGCCGTGGATGGCCAAGAGGTTGGGCCGAGAGGTGAAGCCATTTGATCCCAAGAAGTGGGTCGAAGCCAGGGATCAAAGAGTGCCGCAAATACTTTACGCAAAGTTTACGCAAAACGCGACACTCAAAGAGTGGTTACTGTCGACCGGTTCAGCCGTTTTGGCCGAAATTGCCGTTCAAGACATCGCCGGACACATCACATATGAGGACCCCATTTGGGGCATATGTATCGGTGCCTATCATAAGGACATCGATAGGCCGAGTGAATGGCATAAATACGGCGAAAACTTCTTGGGTAAGACACTGGTCAGTGTCCGTCAGACCATCGCCAACGAGATAATGAGATCTGTTTAGCCATTGAATAGTTTAAAACTTTAATAAGTTTTTATTTTTTTGTTAACAATTTCTTTATATTGAAATTAATAGTGATATTAATTTTGGTGTAAAAACTATTGATATAAATGTATAGCAAATGGACTAAACGTTTGCATTTAAATCAATTTGCAAATATCGTTGATATAAATGCTTTCATTTACTAATTGTTTGAATTATAATTCCTGTAAAACATTTCAAAGTCGTATAACATTTACATACATTTTTTGATACCATTTTTTAAAAACTTTTCAGAACTTTTGTTTTCTCATACTTTGTGTGTATTGTTTAGTACAGTATTATATACTAAACATGTATTTTGATTAAACTAAATGATTAAAACAACGATTTCATATAAAATCTACTTTATTTATATGCAAAACATAAAGCAATCAATTGATCGCAAATCACAACTCTATGGTAACATTGATATACAGTATTGTTGACAATATATTGCAATTTGCAAAACGTGTGGAAATGAATTGAAATGATAACGTTTGGTAAACAACTCCAGAGTGTGGAGTCTGGAGTCCAGACTATTGCCACATAAGTTAGTATAAAAGTCGGCACACATTTCAATAACAATAATTATAACAACAAATATAATGAACAAAATCGTACAAAAGGGTAACGACGTGTCGGTGTATTCAAGCGATGGCCAGATGTTAGGCTACGGCGGGTTTTCCAACGCCAGCCCTCTGTCCAACTTTTACAAGACTAGCTTCGCATACAGTGGACACCACTTCGAGTACTCCGAGTGCGCTATTATGCACAAAAAGGCCATCACTTTTGGCGACCAAATGAGCGCCGATAAAGTGCTCAAATGCCGGTCGCCGTGGATGGCAAAGAGGTTGGGCCGAGAGGTAAAGCCATTTGATCCCAAGAAGTGGGTCGAAGCCAGGGATGAAAGATGTAACATTTACATAATTTTTTGATACCATTTTTTAAAACTTTTATGAACTTTTGTTTTTATATACTTTGTGTGTATTGTTTAGTATTACTAAACATGTATTTTGATTTAACTAAATGATTAAAACAACGATTTCATATAAAATATACTTTATTTATATGCAAAACATGAACAAAATTATAAATAAAGAAATCTATTAAATTAAAGCAATTGTTTACAGCAATTGATGAAAAACAAGAGTGTTTAGGGGTTTAGCCAATCGTGTGATGGCTTTCATATGCAAAACTTTTATGGTTTACGCGTTTCTATTGGTTGTGAGACTTGTTTTTGTTTTGTTATTTCAATAGTTTTGAATCAAAACAATAATCACCGCATTGTTTACCCATTTGTTTATCACTTTAACTGATCCTAACGTTCAATAATAATCATTATTAGTGTCCATACGATTGGCGCAATATTTGAAGGAAAGGACAGACACTTAACACTAACGAGAAGACAATGGATGTGATCGGCGGTCACACTGAAGATGGTATGTATTGCGTGCCATAGCGTCCACTATATATAAGTGGTATTCACTAAACAAATACACAATTGTATTACAGTGAGGGGTCGGTCTGAGGCGACCATCAGGTTTGTGGTGAACGATGTTAACCAATTGACTGGTTATCAATTCAGCGCTGTCACACATATACGACACTTGCCCTGGTATACAATATATACAACAACAACTCTCCCCACCCCCGTCCCGACTTTGTCATTCATTTAGGTAATACTTTGTAATATTAGGCAAATAATGGTCAATACTGAACAAGTGAACACCACTTGTGGTGACCCGCCGTTGGAAGTGATAACTAAATGCTTGGGCTGTTATATCCGTTGTCCGTGGTTTACGTATGTAATCGTCAATTGTTTTACCACTAGATGTTGACAATTATTATTATCTAATCATTTCCTCCACAGACACCTCGTTAGCAATTGTAGTTGTAATGTGAGGGTTAAGCTGACACTCGTCGCACAGTCGCCTAACGGACGCAACATTAGCAAAAGTGAGTGCTTCCCGATTGACACACACACCCGACACAACACGTGTGTCCAACAAATAGCATATTATTGTGAATTGATTATTGGTTTTGATTACAGGCTTTGAACAAAAATTCCCAGTTGAAAGTAAGAATAGTTTAGGTTTCCCACAATTCATTGCATTTCAGGTGATTTACATATTTTCATATTTATAAACATTAAATATATGGTTAATTTGCTTTCGTTGATTACCCGGTGCTTAGAATCTATTGAACGACGAAAAGGGTTTCATTAAAGACAATACGATTGTCGTGGAGGCGAAGGTCAGCGCCGATCGACCCTACGGTGTGATTATGCGCTCAAATGAGGGCAATATTTTTGGCACAATTCAAAGGGTAAACACTTTTTATGTTTAACTTATTTTTAAAATTTTATTTATATATTTAGAAATGCGTTGATTTGAATCCGGAATTGATTTACTTTATGAACGAATCCGAGTGTAATGTTATGTTCAAAGTGGAGGGCAAACGGATTCCGGCCCTCAAAGAGTTGTTGATATATAGAAGTGATTATTTTCGGTCAATGTTTTCGGGAAATTATACCGAAAGTAAGGATAAAGAGATTGAAATCCAAGACACGACTCACGAGGCGTTCAAAACAATCATTTGGTACTTGTATTCGTACGAATTGGCCATCGATTCGGAGGACATGTTAATTGATTTGGACTTTCAATACGAAGTCTATAGACTCGCCGATAGGTTTCAAATCAAACGACTTCTCAGTTATTTTGAAAATCAATTGAAAACAAACATCACTGAAGAGAATCTGGAATTGGTTTCAAGAATTTGTTTCGATTATAAAATCAATTCTTTGATGATTTCTGTAAAGAAATTCATTGATAAAACATTTGACAAATTGATTCTCGAAGACAAGGATTATGTGAAGAAAATCAATGGATTCACTGATGACTATATATTTGATAAGACAATTGAAAGTTCGCGTAAAAAAGTGCGAATTGTGTGAAAATATCGTTGATATAAATGCTTTCATTTACTAATTGTTTGAATTATAATTCCTGAAAAACATTTCAAATTCATATAAATTGACACAATTTTTTGAAACTTTTCAGAACTTTTGTTTTCACATACTTTGTGTGTATTGTTTAGTATAACTAAACATGTATTTTGATTTAACTAAATGATTAAAACAATGATTTCATATAAAATATACTTTATTTATATGCAAAACATGAAACAATCATTTGATGGCAAATCACAACTCTATGGTAACCTTGATATACAGTATTGTTGACAATATATTGCAATTTTCAACACGTGTGAAATGAATTGAAATGATAACGATTGGTAAACAACTCCAGAGTGTGGAGTCTGGAGTCCAGACTATTGCCATATAAGTTAGTATAAAAGTCGGCACACATTTCAATAACAATAATTATAACAACAAATATAATGAACAAAATCGTACGCAAGGGTAACGACGTGTCGGTGTATTCAAGCGATGGCCAGATGTTAGGCTACGGCGGGGTTTCCAACGCCAGCCCTCTGTCCAACTTTTACAAGACTAGCTTCACATACAATGGACACCACTTCGAGTACTCCGAGTGCGCTATTATGTACGAAAAGGCCATCACTTTTGGCGACCAAATGAGCGCCGATAAAGTGCTCAAATGCCGGTCGCCGTGGATGGCCAAGCAGTTGGGCCGAGAGGTGAAGCCATTTGATGCCCACAAGTGGGTCGAAGCCAGGGATCAAAGAGTGCCGCAAATACTTTACGCAAAGTTTACGCAAAACCCGGCACTCAAAAAGTGGTTACTGTCGACCGGATCAGCCGTTTTGGCCGAAGTTGCCGCTCAAGACATCGCCGGACACATGAAATATCAGGACCCGATTTGGGGCGTATGTATCGGTGCCTATCATAAGGACATCTTATGGCCGACTGAATGGCATAGATATGGCCACAACTTCTTGGGCAATACACTCGTCAGTGTCCGGCAGACCATCGCTCATGAGATAACTGTAATGAGATTTGTTTAGCCATTAATAAGTTTAAAACTTAAAAGTATTTATCATTTTTTTGTTAACAATTTATTTATATTGAAATTAATAGTGATATTAATTTTGCTGTAAAACTATTGCTATAATAGACATAAATGTATAGCAAATGTACTAAACGTTTGCATTTAAATCACTGTTTAATTGTAAACGCATTCAAAAAACATTGATTTCATAATATTTTGTATTTCAAGTCATTTAAAGAGTTGTCAAAAACAGTTGTTATTTTGTTTACATCACAAATGATGTGCCGATTATAACAAACGGGTCTTTCGATGATATGTTAATAACTTAATTACTAATAAAGATTTGTTACAAACAGTTAAAAGTATTAAATTACTTAAATTAAATCATTTATAAAAACATGTAATTAAAATAAATGTGTACTGAAATTGGTATTAATTAGGATTTAAAATGAATTAGTGGTCAAAAAGTTTGGTCAAAACACGTGACATAATTGATGGAGAGTTTAGTTATATTAATAGTAAACACAATAACAACAAAACGCGTAACAAATAGTGATTTATTCAATGAATTAAGTGTTGATATAATTGTGGGACAAATGTATTGAAGAGCGGAAGCGATGGACGAATGCGATTGCGATGAACTGATGGCCAGTATTGGCCACAAAGTGCGACAATTGGTGGCCGACGGCAGCGGACGGACCGCTCTGTTGGACGACTTGACTCTCATTCACAACACATATAAGGCTAATATTGAGTGGAAAGTGAGAGAGATTTGCAAATTGAGACATCGCTTGAGACAGTTGTCCGCCGCTCAGCACATCCCATACGATGACCACTCGGCTCAAGACGTGGCCATCGATGACAAGAACGCTAACAATGGGGTCATTTTGGCCAATCATCTGATCCCTAATAATGGGTAACCATTCATACCATTCATATTTGGAGATATGTTTACTC